TTGCATCATTAACGAAAAATTCGTGCGGCATTATCTTCGGAGGACACATGTCCCAGGCCCATGTAAAGTCCAAAGGGTCAAAAGCGTTTCTCATGAAAATCATTTTTCGTGCTTTCACCCGTTAGTCCATTCGCCGTCCTCGGACAAACGACCTCCCATAAAGGGCTCATAAGGGCCTGTGCCTGTGCTGCCAAAATTGATACAGTTTGGCTGATGGCACCTCTCCAAAATGTGGATTTTCCAATTCCAGCCCCACTTCCTGAGCAGCCTGCCCTCCCGACTGCTAAAGCACAGTTGGCTCTGGAAGAATTTTGGGGAGATTGGAGTCGCCCTACTCCAACAGAAACCCCCAGAGTTTCGGACTCTGAGCTAAGGTGGTAAGCTCAAGAATCCAAGTTTGCAGCGTTCACGGAAGTCCCTCCGGGCTCTGCCGATGATAAGCTTGACCAGCTCATCCTGAAAGCCAATGAGCAAAGGTATATGCCAGCAGGCTCCTTTTCGGAGCCTTCCCAAAGCAGCAAGCCTGCCAAGGAGGCTGAAATTCCTTTACCAACTCCTCCTACCTTTCCTGAGGAGAGCCAAGATCTTCCAGACAACACTGAAGATCGTACGGCTGCAGCATCTGCCTTCATAGGCCAAACCATGAAGAAGAGCAAGCAGTAATTCTGCATGCCTTCTTCCATGTATCTTTTCAGCTCAGTTTACTTGTACAATACTGAGTCTGGCATTTCAAGCATGCTGTGCTGCATAAAATGATCGTTGTCTCTTTGCGCTTTCTCTGTTGCATTTGAGCGTAGAGTGCAGCACTTCTTTCAGATTCGAATCGATATTTATGCTTTGCTCCAGAAGCGAGTGTCAGATTTCTGTCCCTGTTGCCATGCCGAAATGTCAACGCAAACGTCGGCGAGTTTACCTCTTTAGCAAGTGGTTCCAGCAGCTCTTCATCTTCCAGCTCGTCTACATCTTCGAGCAGTTCTTCTTCGTCTAGTACGGGAGAGAACCCACGAGTGTCCAAATCTAGTCAGAACGCTCAAAACAAACTTCGATCTGAGCGAGTCCCGACGATTTCGTCTTCTTTACTGCGCAATAAGGTTTTGATTCAATCTCCAGAAATTGACTCAAATGATGGAGTCATTATTTATAGCACTCGGAGTAAACCGGTGCATGCACACCACTGTGCTGTTCAGCAACTGCTGAATAAGTGGTCCAACGTGCGGCACTATTGCTGTAGTCAAAGCACTTGTCAATTGTGTTGGGAGGTTCGTCGGTCAAGCAGAGCCAAGCTCATGCTTAACTTTGTTAGAACTCATCCCACAACTCAACGTGGCAACCGGGCCAAATGCAACTCGGTTGTCGAGCGGATTCTTGCCCGTACCAGTGTTTAATCTTGTTCTGTGACTTCAGCAAAAGCGACGTGAGGCCTGTGCAATCAACGTAGGCTGCACAATTTGTGCTTGAGCAAGATTGAGGCTCCAATCGAATTTTATGTTTTACCCTCACCCAGAGCGACTCATGTCTTTCAGTTTCCCTGATGCACTTGCAGCGGTGGCCAGCTTCTTTATGACCATCGAGCTCCACATTTGTGCAAGTCATCTTTCTAATGATACCTTCCGTGACAGGCGACCGAACTGGGACTACGAGATTCGGCGATCTCAAGCCTTTCTTCGACGATTTGGTGTTGACCGTGGCTTGCCGTTCAATGTTCGGACGACTCCAAACAATACCACCTGGAACGTTTGGATGTACACTTGCCATCTTGGTCTAGCAGTTATATTGCATTCGGCATCTGTTGCCCGTGCATGGGTCAAACCCATGCAGCAAGTAGCTCAGACCCTGCCAAATCTTAACGTTTCAGAGTTCCACATCTCAGCAGTATGTTGAATTCTTCGTTTGAATGGCAAAAGTCGCCTGGCAGAGACATCGAAATCATTCGATCTGACCATCATCTTCTTTGTCGGCTTCGACGAAGATCGATTCGAGCTCCGCTGACAGGTTGAGCTCTGTACATATACCTATGGCAGACCACGATGTTTGACTTGTTTGTTTCCTATCCTGCTGCATGCGCATGTTCACTAGTCTCATTTCTCTGCTGCATTTGCAGCCGCTTCGCTCTCCGTCCTTTCTGCGCCATTTCCCCCAACCATGAAACGGACAGCCGCGGATGCTGGATTGCCAGAAGCACCTCACCTTGTTCGAGTTGATGTTCGCTTACCTCAAGAACCCTGGGGCCAGTCGATGAGTTTTCAACTTCAATGTCGTTCCATCGACAATATTGACCAAGTCAAGCGTGCCCTACAGCACCAAGTGTGGCAATCCATTGGATGGTGTCCGAGACTCTCCGCTTACCAACTCCAGCAAGATGGTAAGCACATCCCTTTTACACAACCGATTTCGGCATTGAACCCTCTGCTGCCGGTGTTATGTATTCGTACTGCCTGACGCTTCAGTGCTCGAGGTCCAAAAGAGTCTGTGTCTTTTGCAAACGCCCAAGTGGCTTACTGTGTGTGGGGAACTCTGTTACCAAGAGCTAGCAAGCATACTTGTTGTATAGTGCATGGGGGCAACCCCGTGAGCATAGCTGGTTGCCCAACGAAGAGGGCTATGCCACGGCTGATACTGGGTCTGATCAACCCAGCGTACCTGCCAGTCATTTTGCAAGTGTCGTGTGCAAGTGCTTTCTGCAATGTCATGGCTTGGGGCTAAGCCTAGAACCCCAAAGCCGCCCCAGTGGCTGACCATCTTCACCTCTGTTACTAAGAATCTTGCAGAAACAAGTCAATCAGAGGGAGGATTGCACGAGTGTGTGTGTGTGTGTTTGTTTGTCTGTGTTTGTGCACGCCTGGAGTGAGACCACAACTGTACTGCAGGGGGGCAGCTGTCCAGCAAAGACACCGTCAGTGCGTGGTGATATCTGGCGAAGTCAGCCAGACGTACCTGCTTTCGGATTAGCCAGTGCGCCCCCTGCGGCACTGGGGTAACCAGCTCTAGAGTGAAGCGTCTCTGTCACCTTGTATGGTTGCCGCAATCTATCGTCGTTTGGTCCTCTCAGTAGCTCGTCGCAGTCATCCGTGCCCTGCCAAAGTGTGTGAACTTCCTTAACGCATGGCAAAAAAGGGTCCATCGGTCTGCTTTTACGCATTGCAGGGGGATGCCGCACACTTGAAGAGTGGGCATCTAACAGAGAGGCTCTTCAGAGTTTGTTGATATGGGGGAACCACGTACCTGCAAATCGACACGGCCCTCGGTGGTGTCCGCATTATTCTTGCAGTAGCCGTGGCTTGTGTGAAACAACCAACAGCAACCCCCGCCTCACCCCTCTTTCCTGCTTGCCTCTTCCTCTTGCCGAAATCCCACAAGTGTGGAACAAAGCTTAGCAGTGGCTTTCCGTCATGGCGCTGTGGTGGTCCTGCGGGGTCGCTGGCCAGGAGCCAGATTTCGGGCTCATTCTTCGGGCTGATGGATTGACACTCCCAGGCAGCTATTCTATACCGGCTATCCGAATCTAATTTTAGCAACGGCGTGTGCGGATGTCGGCATGTGCATCTGACAGGGCATGTGCAGTAGCGGTGCGTCGCTGCTTCGGAAGCACAGCATTTCGGCATTGCATTTTTCGCTTCTTCCCCACCCCCAGCACAATAACGGTCGAGCCGCCCTGTTTATGAAGCTCAGTTCGCTTATTCTATGTGTTTGGGTGTCTGATCAATGATCACTTGTGTTCTCATTTTCAGATGCACAATCGATGTTGTGAATATTGCTCTTCGACTCATGTGGAAGGTTTGAATCACAATTTGGTAGCAGGCCTTGTTTTCATGCGCCAAAATGTGCAGAATTATGCGACTGTTTCCCACAAAATGCGAATGATGTTTCAGCAGACGTGTTGCGGGCATCGTGTGTTGTCGATGTCCAGGGTAGCTGCCTCTGGTGGTCGTCGTGGCCAGCTGAGGGACAGTCCCTGACCCATTCTTCTGGGGCCAGCGTGCTCAGCTGAAGGTCAGTTGCCAACCCTAGCCATAATCCAAAACCATGGTGGTTGGACTACATCCTGAACTGCCACAACAAGATCTGAATCAGGGCATTGCAGCCCGCAGTGTTTTGTAGATTAGTTTGGGGTATTCTTAGTCTTCTTGGCCTCGGCGTGGCCTCAATTTTCAGCCCTGGCGTGGTTATCATCTGTATGGTTTGTGGTTTCTAGGTTACAGCCGCCTCAATGCGGGGTTCTGTGCGCGTTAACTTCCCTAGCACATGGGAACAGAGGGTCATTCCTCTTGCATTGTTTCACATTCTTTACATTTTGCAGGGGGCATGCCGCTTGTGCTCTTATCCATGCCAACGAGCCTATGGAGCACAAGTGGATGGGAATGTAGACGCACATTCCTGTACCTGCAAAACAGTTGGGGCCCCTGAGCCAGCGAGCTTAGAAGGCCCCTGTGCCAAGATCAGAGTTTTTGGTTTTTGACAACAACCGTTGATAGAGCATGTGCTTGACAGTCTACAACACCCTGCCCTAACCCACTTTGCTGTCTCGACCTCTTCTCGTTGCCGAAATCCATCAGTGTGTACAACTTGTTACCAAGGGACATCATTTGTTTGCTTGCATGCCTGTTTTGCATGTTTCGAAGCCTGACGTGTTGTGCTGGGGGCACAGGTGGAATCAGCAGCCCCTATGCCAACGAACACGGTTGCTGATTGTAGTGAAACGTGCCTGCAGCTGATGGCATGCGTCAATGAGGCGCTTTAGGCCAGCTCTGCGTCCCGGGCCCATGAATGATCTCGGACATAGAGCTTGGCTCTGTACAAAAAACAGGCGTACTGTAACGATTTCCGGTTGAAGGCTGTGGATGAATGCAACACTCGTCTGTTTTTGCACCTCCCTGTCTGTCTGTGTATCTGACTGTTTGCACCTGTTTGATTCTGTTTGTTCCGTGCCGCTAAGTGAGGCGACGCGTGTGAATGGTTCCGGTTAGTGGAACTTGCTTCAGGCAGAATTCAACGCCGCCCCCATGCAAGATGCTTTGGGTTGGGCCAAGAGCGCCATCACTTCCAAAGAGGGTGCACCTCGGATGCTCTTGGCAGTTTTCGTCTGATGTGAGCTTCCAGATACAGTCCATCCAAGGCAGAACTCAAATCCGAAGCAGCAAAATTGGCGCTCAAGGCCAAAACGGCGCTATTTGCCTAGCACGTTGAAAGTTCCTTCCCTCTAAGTTTGTGTTGTGGAAATCGTCAGGGAACTTGGCCGGCTTATCCCAAGGTTTGAGCATCAAGATACACACGAGCTCAAAGAGGGAGCAGCCGCCAATGCCCGAGCATTAGTGGGGTTTACTGCGGATAGGCTGCTGATTCGTGCAGATTCAGGATTTCATGGGCAAGTTGAAGGAGCTTTGGGACCAGAATGCCGACGAGGAGGGAAATTGCAGATCGGGTTGCCAAGTACCCGTAGCAGGAGGAGGAGGAGGAGGAGCTGTAAAGACATGATGTGGTTCAAAAGATCTCTGGTGGCTGGGTTAGAGCCAAACCAAACTCGAAACAAGACCCAGCAAGCGATTACGTCAAGCGAGTTGGCAGCACAAGAATGTCCCCAGCTGGAAGGTTGTCCCGTCTTGCCGGCTTAGGATGCTGGGAGACAGCAGGGCTTAATTCAGTTTGTTATACGCGAGATTGCAACGGGAAATACAAGTACATTGCCAATCCACACTCTCAGCGCCCGCCAGTTCGTCAACAGCAATTAAGTGCACTTTCGAACGTTGTGCACAAAAGCGGTCATGAAACATATACGCAAGGTTGATCTCAGTACCCAGGTCTTGACTTATTACAAAAGACGTGGCCAATGGGAGTCGTTCAGGCGCAGTGGCGGGCGCAAGAGCGCGTAAGTGACTAATTAAGATCACTTGGGCTCTTACTAGGGCATCATCAGAAGAGCCGTCCCCTTGTACAGAGTCGCTGCGAAGCCGTTGCTGTTGTGCCGAAAGCTGTGTCCTCGAGCATGCTGTCCTACTAGGAGACATGCGGAAGTCACACCCGCGTGTCCCGCGCCTGTCTTAATGCAACCTACATTCTTGGGTGCTCTTGCATGGTTTGGTCGCCGTGTTTTGAGCCATCGTGAGCATACACCTTGTTGGCCTGCGAGGAGATGAAGATGAAGGCGGCGGTCCTTCTGAACAAAGCAAAACAGACTTTGGAGGCGAAGGGTGTGAAGGACAAGCCGAGCCATGGCAGTGCTCTTTTTTCGGGAAAATGCTCAAGGCCTCGACTGCCTTTGCAGTCCAAATTTGCCGCTACATATTTGGATCATTCTTGAAGCTGGGACAGCGCAGACCAAGCAAGACAGACTCGTGAGGTCTGCAGGCAGATGCAGATAACGTAGAGTGACGGTGCTGATAGGACTTGCCAGAAAAAGTCGCAGCAGTCGAGAAGCAGCTAGAGGCAGCCAAGGCAAGCTGCTGATTTCTGCTTGTCGGGGTCATCAAGTGCTTGATGCAACATGGTGTATGTTGCCCGTCGAAACGCAGGATAACTTGGCCGCAGACAACGTTGATTTGGCAAGAGGCTTGTTTTGGCTTATTGGTGGCAGATTCCCTGTGCACGGCAGCTGGCTAAGGCTGAGTTAGCATCTGCTCGAGGCGGTAACCTACAGGGAAAGGCACGCGCCTAGCTTGTTATCCGATTATCCAGAAGTATTGGTGAGATGGCGTTGTGAAGGCGGCTGGGCTGTTGAAGATGGCAATGAAGAAGCCTGAGACGGAGCTCCTTGCGAACAAGGCGATGGCGAAAAAACTCTTGCGCTACAAGTGCACGAAGCAAGCGGCTCGCAGACGACGAAAGGTCGAATTGCTGTCGAGTCCGCTTGATCCGCTGCAGGCGGCTGAAACCTTGGAGAAGCTGAAGGCTTCAGGTTTGGACACGAAGGCGTCATCTCCGGCGATTGCGCCAACCTGCTCGTTGCAACAAGCCCAGGTGCTGCAGGCATTCCAGCAAGCTGAGACAAAGCTGGGCCCAATTCACGTGTAGTTAGGAGATTAAGCAACTCACTCAGTTGGCCTGGTCAGCGAGATCGCTTACGAGTGCAGAGAGATCTTCGAGCTGGCTAATGCCGGAGGCATAAGCGGTTCGGTAGCCACCATGCGCCAGTAGTGATGAAAGACACGCTCCTGCTTTCTAGCAGGCTTTCTGCACGTGTGTTCTGGCCTTGATGGTCTGTCTTGCTGATGGATCTTTCCGAAGATGGCTCCCAGGATTTCGAGGGAGAAGGGAAGGCGTGACCTGTGGTCAAAAATCCAAGTCTGTCATAGAGTCAACAGAGTCATACAGAGTCAAGCTTCTAGAGCTCCCTGGGTCGACACCAGGTGGCAGCCACAGGCAAGCTTGACATGTTAACACAAGAGGTACATACCCAAATGCCTTGCCTCTTTTTGTGTAGGCGAATGCAGACATAGCAAAGAGAGTGTCGTGAAAGGCAGCAACAGGTAGGTCGACTCGGACAATAGACTGATTGACTCCTCTTGGGCCCTCGCCGGACTGGGACTCTGCTCCAGCAAAGTCAAGGCGAGCTCGATGGGTTCGCCTTCCACGAGAGAATGCCAGTGCGCAGCCATGCAGACGCCTTGTCGGCTGTCTTTTCTGTTGCATAGCTTCTTGAGTGGGCAATTGCCTGAGGTCGACTGGAGGAAGATTGCAGATCTTGCGAAGGACCTCTTGTCGCTCTTGGAGGAGGCCGTGACAGAGATATGCGATAAAGGGAATGTCCTCGTACAGCTGGTGCCAGGAATGGCCAGAGGTAATCGCCTGGCCGGGGCGCCCTGGAATTCTTCTTGCAACAGGCTGTGTGTCTTTGCAAGTCTTCGCCGAAGGTTGGTGGTGGGCTCCGGCCCTGCCTGGGTGCTGTACGTTGTTGTCGTGCGAAGGTTGGTGTGGGCTGGGCCATGTGGATTGGGGAGGCTTTATGAGGCCTTGGACTGGCATCAAGCAGCAATCTTGCAGACATCTTGCAGACGTTTGCAGACGTTTGCAGACGTTTGCAGACTGGAGATGGAGGTAAAACGGGGGGGCTGCAGGCTGCAGGAAGAAACGGGCCGTGTTTTGACGATGCTCTCACAGCCAGCCAATTGTAGGACAGAAGATACGATCCGCGCACGTACATGATCTCTTCATCGCACACCTCAGCGAGTTTCTGTGGAGGCCTCGGAGCAGTGCAGCGGCGGCGGTCGCTTGGGCGACGTGGCTTGCTGTGCAGGTCCCTGCGGTGCCCCTGCGGTGCCAAGCCGCTAACCCTCTGCAGTCAGAGAATCCCACGAGGTTTCAACCCAGGGCTTTGGTGCCCTGGATGTGACAAGGAAGCGCGCGCTTGTGGCACTGCAGGCACTTGTGCTTTCCGTGAGTCACCACGCATCGCTGCGTTTCGGGTGCTGCCAGGCTACGCATGAGGTTGCGCAGAAGTCTGTTGTGATGGTGGAGGTGTCGTTTCCTTCCCCTGCACGCGAGCAGTGTCCGTTGGAGCGAGGCATGGATTATCGTTTTTCTTCCATTCGTTGCGGATCTGTGGAGGCGCGGCATTGTGTGGACATGTGTGGACATAGATTGCCCACGCTTTCTGCAAAGACACTGGGCGGTTCTCAAAGCTTTCGGGTCGCAGGCACTCTCGCAGTGCCTGGAATGCCCTCAGCTTGCCAGCTCGGCTTGTGCGCCGACAGGACGGCGATGTTTTGCACTGAGACTGGCTGAGACCACAGGTACTGGTCGGCGTGCCGGTGGGTCTGTACCTGACAGCCCTGGTTGTCGGGAGGAGCCATGCAAGCGGTTGAGACCTTGAGTCCAGGTGAGGAGTGGGAGACCAGCACCCACCGGGCCGCACCGGGCTGTTGTGCCTTGCAGGATTATCAGAGCTTGCCGTCGAAGAAAGGAAGGTTTGCGCAAAGCAATCAAGCACTGCGCCCAGAGATCTCCATGGCTCGAAGGCAAAGGGAAGATCCGCTGTGCTGTGATGCCAGCTCGTTCCAGGATCGTTCTCGCCAGCGCATGTCTCACTGTCAGCCGAGCCGACAGCCGCCAAGACATCTCATCCTGCCTCAGGTCTGTTTTGTTCCACGGCTCTTTTGTCATGGCATGCCCTTTGCTTTGGTTCTCCACAGGACGAGAAGCTCTAGGAATTTTATTCATCGCTTGTGCAATGAAGATGGAGTGCAAGGACGTGTCTCTATCTGGTGGCTGAACGTCTTGCTGACCCATGTGCTCACAACAGCGCCAAGCTAAGCCGGCTTGAAGCCCAAGGGCATGGCCGTAGTTCGTGTCGGTTGTCGGTGATCGCACGGTCGGAAGCAACTATCTATCTTTGGGCCTTAGGGTTGCGCTGCCCCTATACCGTTGACAATTGCAAATCATGCTTTTTTTAAGACTTAAATCGAGTAGGCGGACTCACGTGGTGCACCTACCTGGGAAGCAAGCCTTTCCCAAGATTAGCATGAGCAAGTCGCAGTCCAATGTGACGACATGGTCAAAGCGTCTTTCTGTCAGCCTCGTTAGACGAGATGGACACATCACATATAAAGACGTGCTCTCTGAACACATGCCCAGATCTGGGAAGAGGCTGATATCCTCCCCTCAGCATGCGAATGGCGCAACACTGACATGACCGCAGAACTCTAGGCCTTTCCCCCTCGACATGGCTACAACAACCAGCCAGATTTCGTTCACATCCGTCGACGCTGTAAAGTATCATTGAATCATTCTTCGATACACAACAGCACCGTAATCACGAGTGGTCCAGAAGGCAAGGAAGCTGTGCAAGAAAAGGCTGTACCCCTGACGGGACGAGGCACCAAATGCACTATTGGATGGAAAAGTGTCCTGACGACCTGCAACATGTACTTTGGTCAAGTGAACAAGTGTCTGAACCACATCAACATTGTGTCCAGGTGCCAACCATGGGCTCACTGGTTGCCCTCGGCTGGCAGCCACTCTTCGACAGAGGGGCTGGCACGGCCTCAGCGACAGCAATCGAGGACGGCAAAGTCGAGGACAGTTGATCCATGCCTTGATGGGGACAAAGTCGCGTGTGTGCAGGATGTTCAGGGGCATCCTGCGCTGCCCTGGAGAGCTCTGGGCGAAGCCAACAGCATGGGGACCTTGGAGGCGCGATGTTCTGCTGGACAGTGCGAAGCGCAGCACCTTAAGCATCTGGTATCGGAATGTACCATAAGTGTGCGAAGCATTTGTATAGTCGCAGCTTGTGGCTCCGGCTCTGGGTAGGTTTGCTGTAGGCTTTTGTTTGAGCCCACCGCCGCCCCAATCGCCTCCAGGAAGTTTGTAGTTCCTTGCTAGGCCAGGAAAGACTGTCAGCATTTGTGCATCTCACGAACAACAGAGCGTGTGCGCATTTGCATCTTAATTAGGAGTGTCACGTCCCATGAGCTGGAGGGTGGGTAGTTCGTACATGAAAAGCCTAGAGATGTCGCACATAGCTGTAGCCAATGAATTCAATGATGGACTTCAGCAACAGTCGTGCATAACAAGCATGTACATGTGTGAGTCCGCAGGCGAAGGCACGCAAAACAAAGACAAGGAATTACGACAATTGTCGCCAAACCTTTTGGAGAAGGTATGCCGAAACTAGCTCGTTTGCACGGAGTCGCGAGTGAAGACTGTCATCGGCTACGGATTTCCCGGGTTGAAGGCCAAGGCCTGGTTTTACGATTGGCCGAGCCCAGTTGCAGCTTCGGTGAAGGATGGGAGCGGTGAAGACTCAGTTATGCCGGCTTTTCATATTGTCGGCTTCCCTTTCCTCAGTGCTTCAGGCCGCTTCGACTGCAATGCGGCCGCGAAGACGAAGCCATAGGAGGTGCTGAGTGAGGCAGATCCGATGGTAGTCACCACGAGCTTTCATGCGTGCAGGGGTGCCGTCGACACGCCTGCTGCTAGACCAGTTGCAGCTTTGCCCGCAGCCAGAAGCAGTGTTCGCCAGTGTTGCTGCTCTGCACTGCTCCGCACTGCTCTGCAACCTCCTGCAGAGGCCTCGCCGAGTTCGCTTCGGCCGAAGTCTCGACCAGACCAGCTGAGCAGCTGCGCAGCTGTGCTGTGTCTGAAGGTTTCTTGTTCGCTGAGGCTATGGCTTTCTTATTGGGCTTCCTGGCCACTCCTTCAGCTCCTTGAGCAAGGCAGGAGCAGATCGGTGCAGTGGGCAATTGCTTCGCGGGCATGTGCTGATGTCAGGATTGCCTTCCCTGCTGGAGCTGCAAGTTCTCGGTGTCAAGCAGGCTGGTCTATGGCTTCCTTGGCAGCTTTCATCCTTTGGGTCTGCAGGTGGCTGAAGTGCAATCGCAGTTGAGGAGAGCTCTCATAGTGTATGTGTCAGACGCCGAGAGCGCCGTGCGTTTGCTCAGCAAGTCGTGAGTATTAATTCAAGCCAAGGCTTTGGCTTCTGGTGTGGAAGGGGAGCCGTATTCAGCTCGCTGTCCTGCGCCACGGCCGCCTGAGTTGCAGTGCTTTGGAAGACGGGCCGCGAGGGCAGGGGGCAGGTCGTGTGTAACTGTTTATTTATGTCAGGGTCTGTGTGTCTATGTGCTGTTTCGAGAACTACGGCTCCAGGCGATGCACACTTAGACGCTGCCGGTTGTGTTGGGCTGAGGATGAAACCGTGCTGTTTTTTCTACAGAAAACATTGTCGGCCAAGGCTGGAGATCCTTCCGGGCCTCTTGGGAGTTCACGGACTTCAGATTCTAAACATGCTGCGAGGCACCACCAAGCACTTTAGCAAGCAGCTTTCCGATATTCCACAGCCAGGTGGAAGCGAGGGCGTGCCAGTGCCGTCCACCGCTAACATGTTCCTGGCGTGCCTTTGCTAGAAAAGCTCTTAAAGGCACGGGGTCGAGCCAATCCAAGCCCCTCTGAGCCCTTTGGTTCATGCGACAGGTGTAACTAGTTGCATCGCTCGACGAGTGGGATTCTTTCGGTTTCATTGCGTTCATGAGATCATTGGTGGGTGGTGGGAGGTTAAATGTTTGTGAATGCTGTCACAGTTCTTGATTGTTCCCGTGTCATAGCTTTGGCGCAGAAAATGCCTGTGCTGTCTGCTCCCACGATAGGCTCGGTGGTCTTCCAAGCAACAGCTCCTGACAGTACTGCGAAGAACCCAGACTTCGTGAACATTTGGGCCATCAGCAATTGTGTTTGAGAGCTGCGTGACATCAGTTGGCTTGACACGTCCCACCGTCTCTGTGCATGTATTTTTGCTTCTCGAGTTTCAGGACTTCTTTCGAGTTTCGTCTGGCACTGGTACCTTTTGCCTGCTGGCTGGGTTGTTTCACCACGGATTTTCTTCTCCCGTGACCCACCCCTTTAGGGTTCAGATTCATGGGAACAGGCGCGATCCACTGGTGTGCAGATCCCACCCCTCCTGCCACTCGTGGCAGCAAACGGTTTCATCAGAGTACAGAAAAATGCCAAGTACACCAATCCTCCTCATGAAGCGCACAGTAGCCTAGGTGTATGCTGGTATGCTTACTTCGAGCTTCGCCTGCCCGACTTAGGGTACTTTCTGCGGTGCAGTCACGGCCCAGCGCAGTACTCGGGTGGGCACGCCGCTTGAACCCCAAGGCACTGCTCAACTTACTCAACCGGCATGGCACAGTCACGGCTGGCTCGCTTCCATTTCAGTCATGACCCAGGTTTCAAAGCATCTTCAGGCGTGGCTGGCGTATATTGGCAGCCGCTTCCTGTCAGCAAATGTTAGGGCACTGACAGAGGTGTTAGGAGTGCAAGGGCGAGACAGCATTATCTGAGGGCGCAGCTGCCTCGGTTATGCTGGTGGCATCAGTTTCCCGGCGCTTCATTTTCGGGTGTTTGTGAGCATGGTTGGGTCTGGTGCTCACACTATTCTTGGGACATCTGAGCCAGGTAGTGCTGTTCTATCGGCTGGTCAGCGTTACCAACAGCCGTGACCCCGGGTAAGGCAAGCACATGCAAGTACATGTAAGTCTGCCTTCGCTGCCGCGGTATAGGGGCAAGCTCAGGAGCTCTCACAGCGCTAATCTGGGTCTTTGCAGCAATGGATACCGCAGACACCTTGGCTGCTGATGCCGGCGAGATTCTGCTGGCAAGGACTCGGAAGAGGGCTGAGTCTGGCTGAGACTGGAGCGCAAGTCTTGGAGGAAGCTCGCATTCTGGGCTGTGGCGATGCTGTGGTCTGCGCTGGTGCAGCTCCCCTTCGTTGGAGTTGGGCTCAGGTCTGGGAAGTTGCGAATGTGAGTAGAGTCAGAGAACATGGGAAGATAGGTTGTTCACTCCCGTCGTGTTTGCCTTGCTCATGGTGGCCAGTGAGACCATCTTGAGACGAGTCGCTCGGCCTTGCATACGGATGCCTTTTCGAGCGTTTGCGTGTGTTGCACGGGACTACAGCAGTGCATTCGTTAGTGTTGGTTTCGGTGTGGTGTTGAGCTACAACTCTTCAACGTAAAACGATGTGCCATGAGCCCCCAGGTAGTGCAGCCGCTGCTGGAGCTTCTGACGGCACGTTTGTGTCGGCTCCTGCTTCAACCTAAGCCGTCATCGATTTTTCCACTCTCAACTGGACGACGGCTGCAAGTGAGGTCGCTTGTGAAGCGGAGGATGTCAGGGATGACAACTGCGCTGTGGAACATGCCGATGTGGTTACTCAAGTTTTGGACTCAGGATTGCAGCATGTCGTAAAAGCAGGCAGCTGTGGTTGCAGGTGCCTGACTTCCAAAGCCTCCAGGCTGGCTTCCAGAAGCAGATGTTTCTCGACAGCCACAACATACGTAGTGCCGTCCAAGTGTCTGCGACGTGAGGCACACCACACCAAACGACTCTGCTGCGCAAGCTGCTGGTGACATGCAGCAGCAGCAGCAACAGCTGCAACAGCTGCCTGACATCCAGCCTGTTCCTGGCCAAGTCGAGCCGTCCAACTCCAGAAGGACTAGCGTAGCAAGCTGCTCCTCACAGGCCCCAAGTAGCACAGTGCCTGAAGCGGACCAGCCCCAACAAAGTCAACCGAGTCAACCCGCGCAGCCCGAAGTGGAAGCGCCCGCACACGTTCTTGGCAGTCCCAGTACTGCAGCCTCGTCAGCTGGCAATCCGAGCCCAGCCCCAACATCGCCAGCAGGCGTGCGTCATCGTGGAAAGAAGGGTCGGCGCAAGTAGATTCCGCAAACCCCCCTGCTCTTCCCGATCGGAAAAGTTCTCGCAGATTGATCGAAGCCAGTTCTACCACGGATGCGCATTCGGCTCCATCAAACCCGGCGCGAAGCCCATCCGACCCGAGTGCGCTGGACCTGGTGAACTCCTACGACAAGACGACAGCAGGCCGAGAAGCCGCCGAAAAACAGGCATGCATCCCTTCAGCTCGTGGTCAGCGCAGAGCCTGCGTGGCAAAAAAGGCGACTTTGAGCCAACAGGAGCTGAGTCATCCGGGTAGCAGAGGATCACAAGTCGCATTTCCATGCTGCACGGCTGCTCTGTCGGGCCTGGCTCATTAGGCAAACGGGGTTGCACCATGTAAATGCTAGCAAAGCCTTGGCGGTGGAGATCGTGAGAAGCGGGGATTGTCGGGGATCGCCGGGATCCGAAGCGAGAAGAGGAAGCAAACACTTCGGTGACCCGGTGCTCGTAGCGATGGGCCCGCTTTGGGTGAGCGCGGATGCCGGAAAGGCCCAGCGCTCAGATCTCGTACTGTCCTTACTGTCCGGCAAGGAAGCCGCCTAAGTCCTAACCTAATTGGCATGCTTTCCCTCATGTGGTATATTATTGTTTTCTTCGTTCTTTCTGCAGTTTCGATGCAGGGAAGTGCTTAGGGATTGGGGCCAGGAATGATGTCGGTCCGCTCCCGTCTTGCAGGGGTCTGTCCAAGGGAACATCCAGTGACGCACCAACGAACAGGGGTGTTGCGATCAGAAAGAACCCCCCGGAGACAGGTAATGATTATTTTGCGCGTCGTTGGTGAAGTATCTCATGCATGTCTGGATGCTTTGACGTGCTGCGACAGGTCTTTCAGACACTTGGCCAGTGCCGTGCAGAAGCTAGCAGGCGTGAGCTGGTTGCTAAAACCGGTGAGACTGAAGATGCTGATGAGGCATGGAAGCAAGCCTCAATCACACTGTGGTCGGTGGCACTCTGTGACTATAATACAGCAATCGAACCAAAAGAGGGTACAGTCCTGCCGGTCATGACGTTGTCGCTTGAGTCGCGATTGCAGAAAACCGCCGGCAGTGCAAGCAGTGATTGGGGAAGTGGCGGAGAAGAGGGTGCCAAGGCAGCTTTGGAGAAAGCACGCGAGTCCAAAGACTCGTCCAAAGAAGCTCAAGCGCTTCTGAACCTCGCGGCTTTGCAGGCTAAAACTTGGGCTGCATCCGGAGCAAAGTCTGCTTTGCGTCCAATTGGTGACTTCTTAGAAACTTCCCTTGCGCTCTTCGAGAAAGAGAAGGACCACAGCGGCGAAGCTGTCGCCTGCAACATGCTCGCGAACTTCTACATCCTGCTGGGTCAAGCCAAAGATGCTGTGAGGATGGTTAAGCAGGGGCTCACTGCCACTCGGGCTCTGAATAGCCGGTTGCATGAAGTTCCCCTCCTCCAGACCCTGATGGCGGCGAGCTTCTTGCGGAGCGACGCAGACGAATCGCTTCGTGCCAGCTGCGAGATCGCCACAATCTGCAGAGCTTCGAAAGCTTCGGCCGTGGCATGTGCGCTCGCGGATGCTTGCACAGCGCAGGCACATCTTGCCAATGACGAGCAAGGGCAAGCCCAACGACTAGCTGAGGCTGCGCTTAAGGCATGCAAGGATGCCAAAGACGTCGATGGCGAGATTCTTGTGCTAGGCGCCTTGCAGGAGATTGCCTTTGTTATTGGCAAGCCTGTATCCGCGCTGAAAGCTGCACAAGACTTGCTTGAGAAGGAGCGTAAACGTGGGATCAAGGAGGCAATTGCCAGAGCACATCTCCTGGTCTCCGTATCAGATGCAACTGCAGCGTCATCTAGCGATCTGGCCAAGCAGGCCAAAGAGCAGTACGCATCGCTGAAGGGCTCTTCAGTGGGTGAGGGCCTGGCGCTGGTGTCTTTGGCCAGGGCCTATTTCGCTCTCGGAAAAACCAAAGAGGCTGAAAGCGCTGCCAAGGAGGCAATGGCATCCTTTGCTTCGGAAGTTGGGCAAGGTTTCGCAAGTTGCCTCTTGGCACTCGCACAGCTCCGCCTGGAGGACAGAAGGGGTGCTGGGCGTGGGCTCGGGCACGTTGAAGGGAAAGAGGTCGAGAGCTTTAGAGCTTTTCGTTTCTCAAATCGTGAGAGGATGCTGTGGCAGCGGAGCGCCTGGCGCGAGAAGCTTTGGGACTTTTCCAGGCAGTGCCCCCATCAGTGCTCGGGGCGGGCTTGGGGCTTTGGTACTCCGGGCCTCGAGCCGCGAGCCAGATTTTGCGGAGATTTTGCTTTGGGAGAATACCCCCCGGACTTGGACCTGAACCGAGAAAGTTGCCGTGGCCTTCAGGATGGACACCACCGGGTCGGACAGGCATTGGCAGAGCTGCTTGTCAGGAGCCCCGCTTTCAGAGCGGTACAGTTCTCTCCTCCCAGACGATTCTCACAAACCCATTGATCCGCATGGTGGGCTCTAGCAAGGATTATTCATGCCAGAAAGTTCGTCGCCGTTTGACATGCATCTCGTCTAGGTGCACTTCTTGAGGATTTCGTTTGGAATCACGGACTCGAGTCTGACACTAATTCGAGCCTGCCCTGCGTGCCTGCGGCAGACAAGATGGGATGCTTCTCGGCCGCAGCTTTTTCACATCTGCTTTCCTTGGACCGTCCCCAAAGCGAAACCAGGCGTGGGCAGCTCAAGCTGCTTCGCAGGGCTTTGCTCTGAGCGACCTACTAGTACCGCCGAAGCAGACGTGCTGGTTGTTGGTGCGGGACAGAAGTGGGACAGCAGAGTGCCGTGAAGCATACTGAGCTCACATAACCCATTCGCATCACCGCCAGCCTGCCAGGACCTGCTGGCATTGCTGCAGTACTCGCTTTGCAGAAGCAGAAGAGGTGACATCCGCACTTCCTATTGGAAAGCTCATGCAGCCAGACAGATCTGAGGCGTGTCATCTGGGTGGATCCAGAGTTTCAATCGGGCCGATTGAAGCGATTCCTCACGGTGCCTTGCAACACCAAAGTTGACATCCTTGCGTTCTGGCTGCATTCATTTCAGTCATCTGTGCTGGAGAGAAGAACAGGGTTTCAGTTTCAGCATTGTTTTGGCTGTGCACATTTTGGCTCTGTTTGTTATTTGCCGAATCGGTCAGCTTCTGGCCATGTGCAATCGCAGTGCAGCAGTTGCTTAGCCACCGGAATGGGGATGCGACTGTACGCCTACGTGGTTGGATCTTTGCTGGCCCTGGCTGCCGCAGTGCCCAAGTGCCAAGACATTCACACGTGGCATAACGTCACGGCATACCGTGGCACATGGAGGGCCCAGCTTGCGTCCATCAACGAGAGGGCCCTCTTCTACTGGCCAAACTGTACCGAGATGGGTGCAGCGCCAACTTGGGAGGTCGTTGGTGGACAGCCAGTTCCGGCTGACAGCGCAACCTTTGGCTTTAAAATCGCCGACGGAGACACTTTCGATGTGAGTTATTCGTTGACACTCGTCCGCAGAGCAGCCGAACCGGTCGAATCGCATGCAGACCTAAGCAAGCAAGAGGCAGAGGCTGGTCCGTCCAGAAGGCTTTTCAAGAGCATGTCATGCGTGTATGTGATTGCAGCAGCAGGCCCTGCGCAGCCAGACGTGCGTGCAGAACCTTTCAATGGAGCAACATGCATGTGGGAGAGGAACGAGGGAGTTGGAGAGAACTACCAAGTCGACTTTCCGCCAGAAGGTGCACTAGATGGTGTGGACGTCATTGTTTGAGCGAGACTGCCCCTGACAAGTTTGGACACAGCTCTTTGACTTGTAAGATGTGACTTGTACAACATCTGGTTGCAGTCCTGCAACAGCGACCCGCAGCAACTCTGCGAACGAAAATCAGGCTCAGTTTCTTTCGCTGTGCAAGTAATGCAAGTCTTTGGTCGCCTAACTGTCTGTAGAAGTCGCAATGCGTCGAAAACATCGACATTGAACGAGCCATGCTCAGTTCCCCTTAGGGTGTTTCTGCCAGCAGTATTGGAGCAGCAGCACTTGTTATGCCCATTTTTTACGAAGCGCTTTATCATGATCCCGACTGGCTGCCAAAGTCGTGAGAAGTGCTGCAGGGTTGGTGCCATGACAACTGGGCTGACTGTTCGGGCACGTCGGAGAGTATGCTCACCTGCCGTTTATTCTCGTCTGTGTCGCGATATTTTTTGCTGTAGCGCATCAAATTTGCCACCGCAGTTGCATGCCGACACGATGCTGTAGGCTGCGCTGATCAAACAGCATTCGAAGCCAAACTGCGGCTGGGATGATGTGCAAAGCAAGTTCGCATTTTACACAGTCCGTCCGGGCTAGAGCCAACGTTCAAGAGCGATTGCATGCTTCGTGCAACATCATTTCAACGTCCTTCTCACGACATGCAGATGTGGCATCGCCGTTTGCAAACAGGCAGTGGGGGAAGCCAGAGGTCTACAAAATTCCGGGCTCTGGAATCCTTGACCGTCATACCCAAAGCTCCGATTCCACCAGCCTGCTGGTTTTTGCCGTGGCAGTGGCTTGTGAAAACGAGGCTAGAATTCCTGTGGCTTCTTGATGCTTTTCTGCTCTGCACACCATGTAAGACGTGTTAAGGCTGGCACGACAAGCTCCAACCTAAGGCGAGCGAAAGCAACTTTCGACATCCACTCTTGCAACATGCCGCTCGGATCTGCAACCCACAGCAGCTAGCAAGGCGAGTCTTGGGGATTTGCCGAGAGGGGTGGCCCTTGGCACCAAGGGGGAGCTCGTGCCGAAATCAAGGGATGTCCGAAAGGAAAATCCCGTCATGATGATGATGATGAGTCTCGTCACCACCGCCGCCACCACCACCATCATCATCATCATGATTTCCAGCCACATGTAGCAGCCTTTTTTGTTCTGATGTTGCGAAAGAAGTTGTCATGATTATGATTCGTGTTGTTGATTTCCGTCTATATGTTTTTATTGGATTCCGCCTTGGAAGCGGCTTCTCAGATTCTCCATTTCTTGTTTGGATGTTTGTACAATTGTTACAGGCCGTTGGTCCTGGACCGCCTGGACCCAAGTGTGACTCACCAGGTTCGTGATATGAACCATATTGGTAAATACAGTAACAATAGCAAACAGCAAGCATGTTCCAAGGGGTATCACTGTAATTGGACGTGAATAGCAGACGAGTGATGGTATTGTCGATCGGTGTATGAGCAGTCATAGCATAAGCAGTCAATATGCATAAGGTTGTAGCATAAGGACCCTGCCATCCCCGCGGGCATAGATTAACTGGCAACATGAAGGAGCTGTAGGCATACCCGCGGAGTGAAGGTATGTAGCTGTGTGTCTCCCTATTTCCAGGTGGGGAGCAGTGTGGCTCCAGCTTTGCAGAAGTTGATCGCGGACGCGGAGTCTCTGCCCGGGAGCAGCTCGGAATTCTTCAACGATACGCGGGGATCTCGTGAGATGGTGTCGAACAGATGGGCTGTGTGTGTGTATGTAATTAATAAAGAAAGTCTGCAAGTCGTTTGGTGCTTTCTAGAATTTGTTCGAAAGTCGAAGGGATCTGCTCAATGTCTCAATCGGAACTCCAGGCACTGACCCCTCACAACTCGGATGGACGACGCTCGGAGCATGCAAGCGCATGTTTGATGCTGCTACTTCGGGCGCTCTGCAAGCAGGAGGTTGGTCGGGGCGGGCGGGGCGTGGCCAGGTGTGCGCTAGGACGTGAAATTCGTGCATGAAGGCCTATCGCGCTTGATTGGGAAGGTCGTCCGCCTGCCGCTCGGCCTTCAGGGTATGCTGTCAAAGCAGCATGGGGGCTCGGAAGTAGGGCATGCTTTGCCTGAAGCAGAGAAGAAGTTTTAGCTGGCCAAATCCACAGAGGCAGTGCACAAGGCCGGTGTCAAGGAAACGTGCAACACTCGGGCAGAAATTTTCAACTCCGACCCGAGTCGGAAGCTGAAGCAGAGGAAGGCTGCATCTTGACCAGGCTGTTCCACTTCTCCCTTTCGAGGAATTGTCAAGATCTTCGTTTCTTATGCCGGAAATCATGATGATATTTTGCACACGTTGGTCCTTGTTAACAAGCGCATCCAACATATCCTGGGACCTGGGATACTGCTGCAAATGACAGCTTGCTACTTTCACGGAACCAGGATCCGTCAGGCACCACTGCCGAAGCATCTTCCAGAACAAGCTTTCTAAGCGTTGAGTGAATGTATTCATGATCCTATTGGTAATGCCCTACCTTCCAGGCTACATTCCCGGTCAGCGGGTGACAAGAAGTGTATTTTTTTGACGCGGTTGTTACCATTTACAGGAATTTAGTAATCTAGTAAGCCTGGGCAGGTTCTAAGAAATCAAGCTTGCATTTGTTAAACTTCTTTTCTTGTCCAAGGTTGAAGTGCTTTTGGAGGCCAATCCTTGCACAGCAGAAACTGTACATGGTAACAGTCCATGCCCTCTCCCAAGTCTCTCCGATGAGATTGCTAAAGTTACTAGAGCTTGCAAATCAGCATGAGGCTAGCAACGCACGTTTGTTCAGTGTCCGCTGCTGTCGTGTTCTGTAGGAGGCGAGAAATTCGAAGGAGGAGCAGGGCTAGGACCTAGGAAGTGCGGACGACCGTGCAGGACGAGAAGCAGGAGTCGTGGGAGGAGTCGTGGGAGGAGGAGGAGGTGGAGCTGCAGGTGGAGTTGGAGGACGAGGCGGAGTAGGAGGAGAAGCAGGAGGAGAGAGAAGAGGTAGAGGATCAAGGGAGAGCCGAGTAATTTCTGTATAATATATATATACACATGCATACATACACATAAACATTCATTCCTCCCCACTGAAGTTCCCGCGCTTTGTTCCTGAATCGTTTGGGATGGTGGTTGTGTGCCTACACACCTTTCCAATCTCGACTTCCATTCTTGGTCGCATCTGAAATGCAATGAAATACTCGTCTTTGACAGCTTCGAGCGTAGCTTCACTATAACGTTTGCCAATGATATTGTTACCATTAGCACTGTCTTTACTGGTCACTGTTCTGGTTGCTTCAGTAATACCAACCCATTTGACATTCTGTACCTCCCCTTGTCTGACTATGTTTTAATGAAACAACAAGGTACAGTATGCCTGTGATTCTCTCAGGGTAAGTGGCAAATCATCCAACAGCTGAAATTCTTACTATGTTATACAAACCGGATCGATTGTTGAGTCCTACGTTGATTCACATTCTGATAAATATGCGACAATGTCAGTATATGCAAGCATTTGCTTGTTGATTTCGGTTTAGCGTATGCACATCATTCAGCCAAGATTTAAACACGGTATTTGGGAAACATCTTGGGGAATGCAAACAAAGTTCTTTAAATTCAGTATATGACCAAGAAGTGTTCAACTGCAACAACTTACGATGGCAAGACATGCTGGTTCGGTGCGCACATTTCTTTTAGAGCAGATATTACTCAAAATAACACCTTTCAAGGATTTCCAGTCTTCCTTCAGTGAAAGCTGTTCTACACTTGCTGAAATGATTCAATATTGACGAATATTGGTGGTAAATCTTTACAGTACTGATGCGGAGGTAGATCATCATACAAGACGTAGCGACACAGTGGCTAAGCCTTATATTTTTTCGAGACAGCCGTTAGTTTGAAAAAAGCAGCAGGCAGCAGTTCAGCCGTACAGCAAAAGAGTATTCACTCATGGTGCAATCAATCGCAACATTTTCCATACATAGCATGAGCAGTATGTGTGTGTGACCGACTAGGGCTGGTGGGCATCCAGCATACTGCTGCCGCTGCAGGGGCAGGAGGCAATTCGACAACATTGGACGTTCTTGTATTTGTGTATCCCGTTACTGTATTACAAGTGGTAACGAGGTAACAGGCCAAGATGAAACAGACAAATACTAGCTATAACTATGCGCTCATTTAGAACGCGGGTTTAGATCAATATTTATTTTCAATTGGCATACTGGTATACATCGAAGTGGATATCTAATTAACCACCATTATTCACATGCAAAGCAAACTCGTGAACGACACATTCCGTGGTATTTGCGCTTTTTCGGTTACTACTGTGTGCAAACCTTTTGGATGCGTGCTCACTCCACGGTTCTAGTAGACACGGATGATGATACCGATTATGATGACGACATTGATAGGGAACTCATGATGATGATACACAGTGTGAGGGCAGGTCTTGGTGCAAGAAGCTGCATCCCGTACGTACATCACTCTTTGATGTGGGACCAACAACACTTTGGCTATGTGACACGAAAGGAGAGGGAATATCTAGAAATACTTTCGAACATTCTCATAGAATAAGAAATTCCGTGGGCTTTGGAGGGTGAGTAGCGTATGAAAACATATATATATATGTACGTATGTATGTATGTATGTATGTATGTATGTACGTGTCACAAACCCGCACTGAGGGTGGGAACGGGTACTTGTTAAGAGGGTTTTGTGGCGAGCTTCCGTTTCCACCCCGAAGCAAGGACGCCTAATGGTGCGCATTGGGTGGCGACTGTGGACAGTCATCAGGGACAGAAGTGCGTCAAGGCGAACAGCTCGCAGCATTCGCTTCATGCAGGGATTTGCTGGGCTGACTTCGTGTTTTGCAGGTAAGGTGTGTTGTCCTCGCCACTGGAGCAGAACCCAAAGTTGCCCCACTGCCCAATGCTCTTTCAGCTGAGAAGACCTTCGACGAGGCTGGGGTCATGCTAGAACCAGTAGGCTTTGCCGAAGCGTGGAAGCTAGGACTCACTGCGCCACCAGCTACGGCCAAATCAGCGCCTGGCCGTGCTGGGGTCCCTTGCCACCTAAGGCCTTCTCATTAGTGAGAGTCGAAAGATGCAAAAGATACACGGCCTTTATTTTTTGGGTGTTGATAGAGCCAAGAAACCAAGGAACTCTCACACGGCAGCGGTGGCTTTGGCAAAGCTCAGAGCAGCCTGGTCAAGAGCATTGTGGCAGATGCATTGTGGCGGGACAGTGATCTTAGTGTGATCATACGTGAATGAGTGATTGAGCTTGTAACAGTCAAGGAACTGGCGGTGCCCATGTCACTTTCCATCACCTGCTTTGCGAGACGGCCATTGCGCTGCGCCGAATGGCTGGAGCATTCACAAGTCTATCGCTACAACTCAACAGGACACCTCGTGTTGTGCTGGTGGCAAGTGTTTTCGGATTGAAACTTGCAAAGATGTGCACCCACCGCTTTTTTGACCTCGCTGCATTCTGCAACATCTAGATGATTGCCCTGGTTGCTGTCCCTTTGCATATGACACAGAAATTCTGCAGCAGAGTTCAAGCAGCGCTGGAGGATTGCGTTCCGTGCGCACTTTCCTGTTGAAATTTCGCTACCAGAAGCACAGCGGTGTGTTAGGACTGAAAGGCTTCGGCGCAGTGTTTGGTCGGGAGTGCATGATCCATGGCACGAGCTGGCTGCAAGTCAAAGATGTCAAGGCAGGGATGGATTTCTGCGTTGTGACCTGCGTCGCTTTGCAGCGGTGCCACCAAAACGAGAAGCCGAACATGCGCATGATGATCGAGTTCAATGTACAAACCGGGATCATTTGAACAACTCTGTCAGGATTTCTCTCCGGAGCATTGGGACTGGATCATTGACTGTACAGGATATGTCAAAAGTCTGCACCTCGAGCTCAACAGAAGCACGAAAGTAAGAAGCGACAGACTCAACCTAGGCCAGCTGCCAGCCATCGATGGTGTGATCAAAGCACAAGATCTGCCAAGAGATGAGGCCGCAGCATTTTTGTCAGTTAGTATAGACTGTTCACAGAAGTCTAGGGTGCTACGAATTCCTTTCCCCTCAATGCAGTCCTGCTAAGAAGCCCCACTGCGGGCTGATGCATCTGGCTGCATTCTGACACGAGCTACGCCGGCCCTCAAGTGCCAGGCTTCTGGCGCATTGCTTGGTGCTCCTCCAGGGCTCTTTGCTTTGGGTGTACCATGGGGAGAGGTGATCCCGCTGTACATGCTGCGATGTTTGTTTTCTCACGCGAGTTGTTGGGAAGTTTCTGCACTCTGCAGCTCGAGGCACCCGGGCGGCTGTGGGGCCGTGGTCTTGAAGCAGAAGATGGCTTTAGAGGCGCAGCGGCCGAACGCCGGCACCGCATTGCAGTTGTGCCCACAGCAGCATCCTTCCGACCTTGGCAGGCGAAGATACGTTCGTCGGATTTTCCATGTTCTTTGCCCGAGCCAACCTAATTGCTGATGAGATTGGTAAAGTGCTGGACTGCAGCTGCAATGGCAGCTGCAAGGGTGCATGAACAGCACTGACGAGCTGCACGACACCCCTGTCCAGTTACAGAGGTCTGCAAAGCAGATTCTCATGGTGCAGCGCTTTCCACCCTCTGGCAGTGAAACTGTGCAGGGTTAGCAGGCAGTGCTGGCAAGCAAACTTCAGCTTGAGTATGTGCTTAGGCCGCTTCCGTCGTCTGTCCTGCAGTCCCGCAGCGATCTGTGTTTCTTCGTTTACGAAGGAAGTCACAGCAGCTCCGCGAGAAGCCCGCGGAGTGCAAGATAGCTGCTTTGGAAGGCATTGGCAGCCCCAAAGATAGGGTTGATAGAGGTGGATAGGGTTTGCTCAAAGATGATTACAGGGTCGATCGAAGCGGGAGATGCGCCGGGAGACTGCGCCTAAGCGGCTGAGGTCATCGACGACTCTGCCGTGGCGCATGTAGAAATCAGCGGCATCTGCCGCCGGGTTGCAAAGGTGCCTGAGGCTGTCCGCGAGCCGTTGCCAACTGCAGTTCTTTCACCTGCGAGCTCTGTCGGCCGCCGTCGGCCCAGGTACCCCAAAGTCTTTGGAACGCGAAGGGTCCTCGGATCTCCATGCAACATCTGCACGTGCATGAAACCACGAGCATGTGACTCGCTCGAGACCAGGTTCTCAATGCACTTCATGATGCACGCTGTAAAGATGGCGTCAAGGCAAAGTTGCAAGTGTTGGCAATCCTTTTGTAAAATGTTTCAGAATTTAAATATCAGGCTTGGTTTTACAGATTGGCTTTGTAGTTTATCGAATTTTCAGTTAACTGGTTGCGATGTATCTACCAATCGACTGTTATTTGTGTGTTTCGAAGTGAATGTTTGCAGACTTGAATTCCACACTGTACCAAGTGCGACTAGACATCGGTGGGCGCAGGTACCAGACACCTGCATACTGCAATACCGCCACATCCCTTTGTACTACGCCACACTACGCTTGCGCATGCGGTGCATGTGGGTAAGGTTCCCCCTAGCACCATGTGCATTGGAAGGAAGGAGGGATGGAGGGAGCGAGGGAGGGAGGGAAGAGTGCATGAATCCGCCGCAGTGCAGCTTTCTGATTCAGATTCTTGACACAATTGCCTCGTTGCAGGTGCCTGGGGTTTCGCAGTTGTTGCCTCCCCAATGTAGCTGAACTCCAGCAACGCTTTGCCGGGGGAGTAGGCTTGCTTCATGGATCGCCGTGGTCTCCTGCAGCTACGACTGCATTCGGCGAGCTTACGCGTCGAGTAGCACAATGCCTGACTCGACCGGGACCCTTTGCAGGGGGGTGGCCAAAAGGTCGGGAGGCCAAGGGGACCTCATCCCCAGAGAGAGAAAGAGAACAAGCAAGACAGAGGGACAGCCTTGGAGCTTGAGGCCCTAGCTAGGTTCGCTCTGTTGCTTTTGTCTCGGCCGAAGAAGGAGAGGGAGGGAGAGAGAGAGAGAGAGAGAGAGTGAGTGACGAGCCCCTTGCACCCAAGGAAGGAGAGAGAGAGAGAGAGAGAGAAGCCATTTTGGCTCAAGCCATTTTGGCTCAAGCCGTGAGTGGTTCAAGGGAAGTCGAGGCCGTCCCGCCCCGTCTCTTGATCCTCTCTTCTCCTCTTCTCTCCTCGTCGCTCCAAGGCCTCGGCTTCACCTCAAACCCGGGGGCCTGCCTAGCATTCTCTTGAGGGCCTGCGAAGCGATTGCTGAACACCAACGAGGGGATCCTTGCGCTCCTCGCCGTGCGGGTCCGCCGGGGGGACATAGTCGAGGTCAGTCCCCAAGGTGATCACTCTCCGAGGCGAGCGGGGGACAGTGTCTACAACTACCCCATCCAATTCGGCGATCCTACTCAAGGCCTTTGACCTGGGGGGGATTCTCCCGAAGTTCGAGGGGTCGTTCAGAATAAGGCGGTTGTGCATCGTGATACTTTCTGCAGAACACCGTGAAGGCAAACCATGCTGGGTGGTGGTGGAGAAGCTGCGGGCCCGCAGCCAATGGAGGGGGATAAGGCCACAAGGGGGGAAGGACCAGACTCGTCCCCCACCAAAAAAGGCCGAGTTGAAGAGCAGGCCCTGACGCTCTCCATGCTGCGGTCGGTACTTGCAGAAGAAAGGGAACGAGACAGGGAGCACCTTGCAGCCAGCCTGGCCGGAGTCCAGGGGGACGTGACAGTCATGCAAGGCAAGGTGCAAGCAGTGGAGACGATAGTGGCGCAGCAGGTCCGGGACACAGTGCACGCTCTGGACAGGGTCACGAAGAGTTATGACATACAGGCACGATCCCTCGAGGAGGTCAAGGCAGCCCAAAGGCAGATGGAGGAGCGCCTGACGTCCTTGGAGCTCAAACCGCCCTCGTCAATTGCGCCGGGGAGCACTGCCGACACCGAAGGGGGACGCAAGCCAGCACTCATCATCGGGGGCTGGCACCCCGACAATGCAGCTGAAGACACTTTGAAGGCCGCCCGTGAGGTGCTTCGCTCCCTCGACGTCCCTCTGAATGGGGAAGACATGTTTGTGCCAGGGCTCCGCCGGGGATATGCGATCCTTCCCATTATCCCCAAGCCCTTCGAAGACGAAGATGCCAGACGACAGCGAGTGCAGGGGGCCATACAGAGAGTTCGGAATGCGAACCTCACCCTTGGACCCAACGACCAAGGGGGGATGCGCAAGTTGTGGATCGCGATCAGCCAGAGCCCTGAGCGCCGACGCCGTGCCAAGCTGGCGGGGAAGATCAAGCGCACCATCCTAGAGCTTGGGGGCACCCATGCAGATCTGGAAGTTGAGTTCGCTACGGGTACGGTCTGGTACCATCGGCAGAAGGTGGCGAGCGCCACAGCTGAGAAGCCACAAGGTGCGGAGACAGCGGGGGCCGGATGGGCGGACATCAAGCTCCTGGCCAAGGCCATGCACAAGCCGCTCAAAGACGTGGAAGCCGTCTGGGGGCCCCGCAAAGCGGAGCTCCAATGATGGGAGGAGAACACAGTACAGTTTCACCGCACAGAAGGGGGGACACCCTCGCTGGACTTCCGAGTGGGGACCTGGAACGTGGGCGGACTCTCGGCGCAACACGCGCTGGACTTAGCCCGAGATTTTGCAGGGCACCCAGAGCTTTCCTTGATGCATGTTCTTCTACTGCAAGAAATCGTTACAGAGCCGGGGGTTGCGTTTCATGAAGATCATGGTTGGGTCATCGTTTACGGCAAGAACGAAGGAGACTGGAGGGGAACAGCAATAGCATACCGCAGCGCAGGGCGCAAGCACACCAACACAAAGCTACTCCCCGGGGGGTTGGCCACAAGCATCACCAACACTAAGGGGGCAAAAGGGACCCGCTTCCTGGCCGGCCACATCCCCCACCATGCCACCATAGCCCAGGCGGAGAAGATCCTCGAAGCATGGGGGCCCACCCTAGCCAAAGCGCGAATGGTTTTGGGGTTCGACGCCAACGAGCGTTTCACAGACCAAGACGGAGAGGGGTGGCGCGCGCACAGCGGCAGAGGTGAAGCGATCCTTGAAGCGCTGGCCAAACACGGAATGCAGTACCCCCCCCAGGACCTGCACATCCCAAGCTACCACCCCTACAACACAGCCATGCGAGCACGCAGGCTGGACTATGTGGTTCACCGTGGGGGACACATGCAAGCAGGGGGGGTGCTACAGGAAAGCCGACACATGGCAAGATCGGACCATGACTTGGTTTGGCTGACGGTCATGGGGCGCCCGCCCCCCCCCACTGCCAAACCCACGTGGGGCAGCCGCAGATTTCGCAAGGATGCACAGGCAATACAGGAGATCAGAGCCCCACCACCGCAAGCAGACATCCATGCAGCAATCAGCCAGCTAGCACTCAAAGTGACGGAGCTGGGCAGGCCCAGCGAACGTTTCAGGGAAAGCCACGCGCTCAAAGCAGCCAGAAAGCAAGCACACCAAGCAACCGGGGGGACAGCGCGGCAATTGTGGAAACAAGTCTCCCGCCAACGGCAGCGGGAATATAGACAGTGGCACGGGGGACTCGTGGCGGCAGCAAGCACAGCACACTGGGGTGCGTACCGCGCACTCAACCAGCTCAAGGCCCGAGTGGGCTGGGAACACCACCTCACTGACCACCCCCGATGGCGCGACCACCTTGCTGACCACTTTCGGGGGATCTTCGCGAAGGCCCCGGCAGCGACCACCACTCGCAGACTGCAGGGGACCAGAAGAGCATTGGAGGTACTCTGCAAGCACACCCCGTGGAAGCCTTTCACGCTTGATGATCTGCAGCTGGCCACGCGCACATGGAAGAACAACAAGGCGACCGGTCCCGATGGGATTACACACGAAGTGCTGCGCCTCATGTTGCACGAAGGGGAATGGAACACCAGACTGCTGCATATGCTCAACGACTTTCTCTACAGGGGGGTGCTGCCGGAGGGGGTGCAACAGGGAGCGACCATTCTCCTCCCCAAGACACAAGGGGACCCACCGACGTGGGGGGACACCAGACCGATTACGCTAAGTTCCGCGGTCCTCAAATGGTTCGCGCAGCTCTTGCTGCTGCGAGGGGGGAATCGTATCCAAAAGGATAGCCCATGCCAATGGGCCGGCACCGGCAAGCAAGCCCCTGAACTCCTAGTGGTCCTCAGGAGGGTGGTGAGGCATGCCAAAGAGTGGGGGGTGCCAACCTGGATTGTCAAGCTTGACATTCGGAAAGGATTCGACAGCGTGTGGCAGGAGAGCATGGGGGACATGGTGGCGGCGAGAGTGGGAGGACTCAGACCGGGAGGTGGGGGGACTGAGGGGGGGATGCCATGGGAGGCGCGCGCTTGGTTGGGGTTGCTTGAGGCACGAGAGATGCGGATTGCCGTTGCCGACACCATCACGAGCATACCACAAACCAATGGAGTGAGGCAGGGCTCCCCGGATAGCCCCATTTTGTTCAGCAGGATAGTGGCGGACTGCCTTGAGGGGGCCCTCCGGGAAACCAACCATCTCCTCCACCCAGCCAAGGGACCGCCCCCCCCTGAATCGGGGGGAGCCTTTATGGACGACACGTACCTCTGGTCCCACGATCCAGCCCACCTCCAAGCCCTCCTGGCGTCCTTGGAACGCCGCCTTGCAGCCCATGGCCTTACCATCAACCCCGCCAAAACAGCCATCATACACAGCAAGCCAGAGGGGGGGACCTTTGTGATCGGGGGCAAGGCGGTTCCATGCAAACCCTTCGGAGACATCATCACTGCGTTGGGGTCGCCGATCACGTTCGGGGAAGGAGTGGCAGCAATCATTGCTGAGATGCACCACCGCGCCAGGAAAGCGTTTCACAAACACGCCAAGCTGCTCTACGCCCCCACACCTCTCAAAGGGCGGATTAAGCTGCACCAAACCCTGGTCCGAGGGGCTGCATTGTGGGGGGGACAAGCATGGCCCATTACGGACAGCATCCTCAAAGCAATCAACAGCACCCAGCTCAACCACATCAGACGCATGATGCAGCCAGCGCGCAGACCAGGGGAAACATGGGAACAGTGGAACACACGCACACTGCGGGGAGCAAGGGTGGCCCTACACCATTCCCAAGTCCCGAGGTGGAGCACATTTCAGCTGGGGCACACGTGGGACCTCTATGGGCACATGGCGCGAGCACACCCTGGGGGGAGGCCAATGCTGTGCTGGAAGGACCTTAAGTGGTGGGAGGCAGAGAAGCAGAAGCCAAGA